TATAAATTTTACATCTCTTGTTTGCTGAAATTTGAATCTTTACTGAGTTACTGCTTCTTTCTTGAAGCGTTCTCGTTATGACCTTGAAGAAGAGATGAGGAATAATCAAAGCAGAGGCAATGAGAGAAGCACATTTAGAACACACACGGATTTTAACAATTATCCGTTTGAGAGAAGTGGAAGTAGAGGCCAGTGGGAAGATGTTTGGAGAGCATATAAGAGTACCCAGTCCAGAGAACCAGATAGAAATAGAGCTAACTGGTAGTTGTGATGAACTTACAGTACTTGAGATTCATACAATTCGATGCACCTCGTGTTCAGCATTCTGCTTGCGTGTGTGTTTGCTGTCACCTCAGTACATGGGATACATGACTTGCAGAACTTAAAAAGAACAGGCGTGAAATTTGTGGATGAAGTATTCAACATACTGACACCTCGGCCTTCCATATTTGGGCACTTCTTGACTAGTCATTCGAGCAGGGTGAACAAAAAAGAAATTGTTGCATAAAATTCCCAACAGCGGGTTTGGTAACTTGGAGAGGGACTAGCATCAAGCTGAACTCATGCATGCAGATATGTTTAGGCAACAAACAAGGCCAGTCTGCATGATTGCTGTTGTATAGTTATCAAACAATGTGGATTAATACAGAAACTGTTCATGGCTCCGGGAACCCTGCTAGTTTTGGTGCTAGCAGAGAGACCAACTCGATAGTTTGAGAAGACTGCTGTGGATGACTAATTTTGCTGAGTCGTTTATCTATCATTTTCTGTGCTTGTGTTATTCTGCATTTAAGTTTTAAATTATATTTGTAATTTTGTTTGTGTATAGAGTGTCTGCTTGCATTTGAAACATCCTAAGAGTGAGGTTTCTTTTCTTCTTTGATATTTTGTTCTTTTCATTTCCTTGATTGTGGGTGGGGTTTTCTGTTGTAATACACCAAAGTCAATTATTTTTTGATTATTTGATTTGTTGAAAAACTTTTGGTGTGGGTTTACTAGGCATTTTCTTTTTCTTTTTCTACCTTTACTTAAATTATAGTCACATAGGATTACTCAAATTGAACACCAGTACCCGGTAGCCAAAATAATCAACACACAACTGCTTTAACATGTCAACTGTATCTTTACATATTCCATTCGACAGATTTTCTCTCATTGAATTAAATCCAGCCACGCAAAAGGAGGAGATTTCATTGTTCTCTTTGCACTTGTAATGGAAAATATAATGTAAAAGTTTTCATCTTCAAGGTAAGGGTGAAAATATGGCCTTCACACACCGCCTGAAAAGGGAAACGGAAATGAGTTTAAATTTTATGCACTCACGATGTAAAAGATATTCACACAAATCATGTCACTTGAATGACAACTAACTAGTTAATATTTGTAACTAATATTGATCGATTAGCTCGTGCCAGCACACGTCCAGCCTGTGTATATTTTTTAGTCAAAACAACAACTAACCTTTCAATTGATGCATCCATTTTGTTGGTAGTCTAAATCCTAAACACTTCATTTGGACATGAGAATGTAGCTAGTTGTTTCAACTAGTACCAATACAGACAACATAACATGGATCAAAGTATACGTTCATGGTTGGCAACTGTTACATTGTTTTCATCTATGGCCGAATTCTATACAATGGTGTGTGTGCATACCCTTTACCCTCCCCAGACCCCACTTTTGTGGAATTATACTGGGTCTTGTGTTGTTGTATTCTGAGCAGAGTTGATATCAAATTGGTTTCGAAATAATATTTAAAAAAAAAAGGTGAAATAATGCAGTGATATCTATAAGAAGAGTACATTCTGATATTATTTCAACTTTTACCAGATATGAAAAGCAGAGAGAGAGAGCTAAACCATCCTTCAATATTGCCAATTCTTTTGTGTTCATCTGAGCATTCCAAATCTACCTGTTTCACAAAAGATCAAAAACAATTTTGTGAGCTTACTATTTACAAGTAAGGGTTTCAGAATGTTGAAGATATCATATAATAGAACGGTACCTTCTCTAACAACTTAAGCTTTTAAATGAGGTAGTCATACGACTAACAAATAAAACTAAACTAAAGATAATTAGCAGTCGTCTCACTGGCATTGAGACTGCCTCTCCAGCTGTTCTGGCGAAAGCTCGAATAACTGGATAGAATAGTTGAACCAGCTGTTGCACTTTGCTTCTATTCCTCAGGAAATCCTGCAGAATTTGTACTATGTGAGTACAAGACCTATTGAGTGTGTGATAAATACTTTTGAAAGTTGGACCTTGGGGGATACCTTGACTACAAGAAAAAATACAACAGTATTTCAGAGCTGATAAATGAACACATCAAAGGTCAAAGTGCAAAATGAAAATGAATGGTTTAATCTATAAACAAATCAGAAATTTTGTAAGCCTATTTTACTCTCTCTCCATGCGCGCACACAAATAGAAAATCAACCAAGAGCTATATAAATTTTCTATATCCATTCTTTGCTCCTACATGTCCAGCATATGAAGAGGATTTTTTATACTAGTCATTAATAGACTGCATACGGATATGGAACCAGCTAAAGTTTGTGAAGTCACATAGGTGGAGTTCTATTTTAAGATATGGGAAAATGCATAAGAACCCCCCAACCTATGCCCGAAATCTTAGAGACACACTTATACTATACTAAGGTCCTATTAACCCCCCCCCCCCCGAACTTATTTTATAAATAATTTTTTACCCCTTTTGGGCCTACGTGGCACTATCTTCTGGGCCTAGCGCGTGTTGACAATTTTTTCAAGCTATCTGGTTGATAGTGCCACGTAGGCCGAAAAAGGGTAGAAAATTATTTATAAAATAAGTTCGGGGGGGGGGGGGGTAATAGGACCTCTTGAGGAAGTAAATTACTCATAGCAATCATTCCCCAGTCCACAAGAATGGATAAGTCCCACGAGGGGAATATATTGAGAAGTCAAAAGGAGATTGAGAGGGGGGCTGGAGCCTAACCTCAATAAGTTCAAATACAAAATGAGCTAAGCAATATACAAGATGGAGATAAAACTTCTGAGCAAGAGCTCACAAAAATACCAAGTGTCTGTATCCAAAAGAGATAATCAGCCAGGATCAAAGATGAAGGTGTTTTTCCTCACTCTTATTCGAAAATTTGGACCTCTTTTTTTTTCATTCTTCAAAGTGGATATAATCTGCATAGGCAAGTTGATCGCTGTTGTGAAGAAAGAGTTGTACTTTTTAAACTCTGCAAGATTGGCCAGGAAATCGGCAGTTGAATTTCCTTCTCTGAAGATATGATTAAATTGAATATGACCCTCTGCATTCATGGCTTGAATCTTCTTGATCTCATATTTTAAAAGCCAGGAGGTGGATATGTTGCCATTGATCATATGAATAGTAAGCAGAGAATCAGATTCAATAATCAGATTTCTGAAACCATTATCCAAGCACCACTTCAATCCAATTTTTATGGCTTGAATCTCTGCGTAGTTGTTAGAGCATTCCCCAAGGTAAAATGCGAAAGCCATGATCATATGTCCATTGTGATATCGCAAAATTCCTCCTGCTCCAGCGCTTCCTGAATTCCCTTTGCAACAACCATCAACATTAAGTTAATATTTCCCGATATCAGGACATTTCCAACTCACTGGAATGATAGATAATTGAGGACAGATTCTTTCCACAACATGAAATATATTTGAAAAAGGAGGGGAGAAGTTTATGGTGGTAAACTGAGCTGCAAGAGTCCTCTGCATCAGCATGGTGATTTGATCAATCACTCTGTTAGTAGTCGACCTGATGCCATCATATTTATAAGAGCATCTGAATTTCCAGATTTCCCAAGTAATAAAACTAGGAAGACATTGAAGAATGATTTCATGTACTTGGTTTTGAGGCTTGATGAGACACCATGCCATGAATTTAGCTCTAATATTTAGGGAATTTTTATGAGGAATTCCACACGCATCATAGAAGTATTTCCACACTCTCTTGGCCACTTCTCCCTCATTAAAAAATGATAATTTGTTTCAATAGAACCATTGTTACAACAACAACATCTGGAAGGTCCGTGGACCTTAAACCAGGAGAGATTAACATCAATGGCCAGCTTATCCTTGAGAAGTCTCAAGGCATTAAATGAGATCTTAAAGGGCATCTTGTTATGCCAGATCTTGGTGTTAGTAAGAGCAGTGATTCTATGAGTTCTTAGAGCATTCCAGGCAGATAGGGTAATCTTCATTTTGAGGAGATATGCTGATGGTTTGGATATGTGTAACTAGATAAGAAGGGAGCAAATCATTAAGTTTATCCAGATTCCTAGTGTCATGCACGATGAAGTCAGAGACAAGAATCTTCTTAGATCTGCTGCTTTGCTCAATCAGATTAGCTAAGGCACCTTTGTTGGTCCAATTATCCCACCAAAAGGACACATCCCCTTTGCCAATTTTCCAGAAGATATGCCTCTCACATTCTTTTCTAGTGTCCATGAGTCTTCTCCATAGATGAGACTGAGAGTAGTTCTTCTTTTTGGCCACTGGATGAATCCTTTTACAATATTTAGCATTTAGAAAGGAAGTTAGTAGAGAATTCTTTGTTCTAAAATTCCACCACGCTTTGGCTGTAAAGGAGTTGTATGTCACAAGAATGGATCTGTTCCAAATAGAGCACTAACAGTTGGTACTCCTAGGATCTTTTCACCTCTGGCAGATTTCTGAACATTATGAGATTTTCAAAAGCTTAGAACTTGAGGGATTAAAGGATCACACAAATTGAAGAAGTAGATACTAAGGAAGGACAAAAAACTGAAGTAGATACTCCACCAGGTTTTGAACCGTGGGCCATTGGCCCTTGAGGATTTCTCAATTACAGAAAAAATGGGTCAGTATTTTGGAAGCTAGAAACAAACTTATTATATGATGAATGACTATTTCAGAAAACTTACATGATTGCTGGTTAAGAAAGCTTTATTTAAGCTCACTACTTCTGGTTGGCTGAGATATGATTATGTGAGTTTGGGAAAAATATCCTTCGACACCTTGGAAGAAACTAATTGTCAATCATGTGATGATTCACCAATAATCTGCACACGAACAGGACCCATTTTGAAAACTGTGGAATCGATTGACATCTCTTACAACTATCACTCTCATTGTCACCTTCGAGATAAGCTTCAAAGCAGAATGGCAATCATCGCATATCCTGAGATTCTTAATAACATGAATTGGTGCTTGGGATGGTGTTTTCATGAGAGCATATGCGACAGCCAGCTTTTCGCTGTGGTAACTAAGATAACCCTCTTGTTGTTCTTGCTCAACATCATGCAAGACAGAAGCCGTGTCTGGAATATAACCCAATGGTTTTATTTCAGCCAACAATTTTCTCACCTTCTCATGGATTTGAGCTGTCTCTGGGTGTTGAGTGTCATCAGAAACAAACATATGAGTTTCATTTCGTATTTCAGTCCAGCTCAATCCTGGTTCTTTCTTTATGTTCCTTTCTCTTAATAACTTCCGCATCTTTGCTACACCATCCCACCTTTTCACCTTGGCATGCATATTGGACAACAAGATATAGGTTCCCACGTCGTTGGGGTTCAATTGTAACAAATGGTCTGCCACTTTCTGTCCTAAACCATAATTGCGGTGGACGTTACAAGCATTTAGCAAAGTACGCCAAGCAATAACATCCCATGTGATTGGCGTCGACCTCATGAACTTCTCAGCCTCATCAAGTTTCCCAGCTTTACCTAGGAGCCCTACAACACAGGTATAGTGCTCCAACCCAGGTTCAAGGCCAAAGTCCCTCATTAGATGCTGTAAGTAGTAAAATCCTTCTTCTATCCTACCCAAATGTCCACAAGCCAAAAGAACCCCAATAAAGGTTACATAGCTTGGTTGCTCTTTGGCAGCTAACATGTCCTGAAACATATACAATGCGTCCTCACCAAGCCCATGATGAGAGAAACCTGATATTATCAAATTCCAAGTAACAGTATCTCGACATATCATGTTTGAAAATAAGGCCCTAGCGGCTTCAATATGGCCACTCCTAACATACATATTGATTAGAGCATTCCCCACTACGACAAAAGTTCCATGTCCTGTCTTCTCAACACGTGCATGTAATGTTTTCCCGCACCCAAGTGCTGATAGACCCGCACAAGAATGCAACAATACTGCAAATGTGTATTCATTTGGCACAACATTCTGAAGTTCCATTTGTAAGAACATTTTCAGGGCTTCCTCAAAGCACTCATTTTGGAAATTTGCAGCCAAGATTGTTGTCCAAGACACCACATTATGGTCAGGATAAGAATGAAAGATATATCTTGCACCTAAAATTTCACCACACTTTCCATACATGTCCATGACTGCACTGCTTAAAAACACATCAAGCTGAAGACCCGACTTCAACATTCTGCAATGAACTTGCTGACCCAATTTCAAATCCTTGAGACGAGCACAAAGACCAAATATATTCACATAGCTGATTTTGTCCCCCACTGAGCCCTCAGACAACATCCTTGAGAAGACATCCAATGCTTCATTTATATACCCATGATCCAAGAAGCCCTTTAGTACAACATTATCAGTAATGTTGCTTGATCCAGGAACAGACTTCAAGATTTCCAGAACCCCTTCCATATCTGAAGACATTGTATACAAGGATAGAAGAGCATTCTTCACATACTGATGAAACACTAATCCTGATTTCAACACTAATGCATGACACTGCTGCCCTTCGTGTAGCAAACCACCATTAGAACAAGAAGAAAGTACAGTAGACAAGATATACTCATTTGGAAATAAATTATCCACTGAAACCATGTCTTTCAACAATTTGGGTACTTCCCAAGTAAACCCATTGTGCAAATATCCTGTCATTAAAGTGCTCCAAGAAACTATATTTCGTTGCTGCAATCTGTTGAATATGTGCCGAGCCATAGCAAGTTGTCCACACCTTGAGTAGAGATTAATGAGACAATTATTCTGAATTACGTTGTCTTCTGAGGCATGATTAGATACAATAAGAAGTGCATGGACAACTTTTCCCAATTTGAAGTTCCCATCATCAGCTAACTTTTTCAACAACTTTACAGCGTACTTCACAGAAAAGACACTTTGGGAGTTCAATTGGGATAGAGAAGACACACTCACATGCAAAGGAGCACGGTGGACATTGCTTGTCAAAAACATAGCCAAGTCTCAGTGTAGTTTAGTTTGTAGAGTAATACAACTCCAAGCACTTGAAGGGTATGTTGACTGGACAAAAGAAATGCCAGATCTGAAAATATAAGCAAAGACATGCTTTAAAATGTACTGTTTAAACTTATATAGAAAAACATGTGCAAGAAAGATGTATTCAAATTACTTTAGTGATGCATTTGAAACCAAGACTCTTCTCTTATATTATTTGCATATTGTTATATGAGTTTCTTCTCCCCCCAACCACCGGACACAGGAGACTCATAGTTTTTCATTCAACAACAACTATACCTCAATCTCAGGCATGTTAGGGTTAAATTAATAAACTTATGGACCTATTAAAGCAAACGTTTGGTTGGCTAACTTATGGAAATGCTGGAAGAAAACTTCAGTGCACAAAAAAAAAGAGCAATATAAGTTACCACCAAAGTCCAATCAGGTACTCAGCATAATAAACTCTTGCCATGTTTCAGAATTCAGACCAATGAAAAAGCGAACAGAATACATTAAATAGGCCATGACCACCAAAAAAGGCTTTGAAAACAGAACCAGCTTCCCCCTGTTTGGCAGTACAGCAACGATAGACCCAATGATGAAGTGAACACAACAGTAATTATGCATAGCCACTTAATTAAGTCATAGAATTTTTTTTAAAAAAAAGGGAAGTAAATAAGGATTCAGTAATTAGGAGAGTGAGAAGCATGAAGCATGTGTGGATGAGGAGCTCGACGAACTGGTGGCTGCGGAAGCAAGCAAGCGTGCATGGGGAGCAAAACTAAATATGCATATGCTTCTTTGTAATTGATTCAGTAGCTGACACATTTGCATTTATAGCGTTTTAGAGGAGAAATTGTAGTTGTTACCTATTTTCTGTGTGCATGCTTCTTTGAGAAACTTCTATTGATAGTAGGGTTCGAACCCACAACACTAGTGTGGAAAACATTACCATGGCCCCTTCCTTACCACTGAGCCATCAACCAATTTTATTAGGGGGTTCACAAGTTAATATATATATATATATATATATATATATATATATATATATATTTAGTTAGTTTTTTAATACAAATACAAGGTACGGAAAAGCTACTGGGTTCGCTTGAACCCACGAACCTCCGCTTAGCTCCGCCCCTATCTGTGTTCACTTTTTTCTCAGTTCTTCATTATGATCACTTCTATCCTTCATTTGGAACTCTTTCAATAGAGAGTTTTTTTCTCTTACATTTTTTTAAATTATTAGTGTTTTAACCACGATTATTGATTTTGTTCCATAATTTTTCATTTTGTTTGGAAATGGGATAGGATGGCATATGACCTTATTTTTGTGATGTATTTATCAAATCATACTTGACGAATACGCTATCATTAGTAAAATATTATTACTTTTTTCGTTTATTGCAAGCTTGTACGTAGTTATAGTGAATTCAAATGTAATAATTTTACTCTTTTAGGGATAAATATGCCCTATTTATGTTTCAGGAATAATTATATTAAATTTCATATTGGATATTGGTTATTTTCTCCATGTTTACAAATGAATGAAAATCGATGAGTATGATTCTCTACATGCTCCCAAGACAAATGGCAACTTTAGAAATTATAATTATTATCTTATCTCAGAATGGTTGATATGATTTGTTGCTTTTTCTTTGTTAAATTTTTAAGTTTTGAAAACATAAGTTTTTAGAGATATTTACTGCAGAAATCTCAGGAAAATAATTGAGAAGAATCAAAATTATATATTCACAATAGTCTCTTCTTAACTAAAGATGTGTAGAATTTGAATGAATAGAACTAGATTAAGAATATTTTTCATCAAATAATTTATTATATAAAAATAATATTTGAAAAAATGTGTGTGCCTCACCATTACAACATGTTCCGAAGTGACTACAATCACATATATACCAGTTTAGCACAATTAATCACAAGGTGGGTTGAGGCGACTGCTACATTTTCATTAGATGAGTTGTTACCGTCCTTGAGAAAATGAGGTCTCAGGTTCAAAACTCAGTGGAGAGCGGAGACAAAAAATACTAGGTGATTCTTCCCATCCATCCTAACCTTGGTGGATAGAGTTACCTGATACACGTTGCTGGTGAAAGGTGGAAGGTATTGATCTTGGGCGTATTTATATGTTCGTTTACTATATTTTACCTGCATGTACCTTTAGTTTTAAGAGCATTCTTTACTCTATTGGTTGTGTTTTGATGAGTATTGTGGTAATTGTGCACTAAAATATGTGATTAGATATTGCAAGAAAATGATGCAAGAATCAAGTAAATAGGAGTTGAAGCAAGGGCAAAAAGCTTGGAAACAAATAAGAGGAGTACACGAAAGAGAACAATCAAGAGAAATCTGGGTTGTGGCGCACTGGTGGCGTGTCTCCCCAGGCCCTAAACTACTGGCTCCCTAGGCCTGGCGCACTGGTGGTGCGCCGCGCCATACCACAAACTATTGAAGCCCCAGATTTGGCGCTATGGTGATGCGCCGCCCCACGAAAGCCCCAACGAAAAATTCCAATTTTAGGATTCTGAATCCAAGAAGAAAAAGGGATTATTTTCCCTAACCCTATAAATAGAACATTGTGCCTCTTTTGGAGGAAACCATCATACTTTTCAAGTGCAAGAGGCACGAGATAATATTCACCCTTAGGGATCTTTTCTTCTTCTTCTTCTTCTTCTTCCTCTCTTAGACATTACTTTGCATAAAAATAATTATCTTTGTGATTTTGATTAGTCTTAGTAGTTAAGAATCCTTGTTCTGGGGTTGCGACTATGAATGATTGTTGAACATTAATTTTATGGATGAAGTTGGTTATTGTATAAATTATTCTGGTGTTCTTGAATTAGTATTTTGATGCTTGATTACCATTAAAATAAATATATTGTCTACTTTTGAACTCGAGAGAGGAATAGAGAGATAAAACATGAAATACTCACTTGAATTGATTTGTGTTTAGTATAGAGATATACCTAAGTGCCGTGTTTGGTTACGAAACAAGAAGATAGCTTTAATGCTCACCAATTGATTGAATCAAAATCCTCTCAACGACTGTCAACTAGGGTAGGTGATTAGAGGTCGAAAGATCATAATCATAAAATTAACCTTGTAAATCAGTAATTTGATAGTCATCTGAAATCCATACAAGATATGTGAAGCATGAATTCTTAGTTATGCTGCAACCCTGGAATTTCCCATTTATTTTTAACATTATCTTGAAGTTGAATCATTGTTAGTTAGTATACTTCTTTCATTCTTGCATTCTTAGTATTCCAATATTAATCAAACTCTTGTGGCACAGTTGCATAAATAATTAGAATCAATGTAATTTGATAGATAGTTAATGATCAACAAGTCCTTAGGTTCGATAATCCTACTTTTTTAAAGTCACTATATTACTTGCATGTCCGCGTACACCTGTGTGTGCATTTGGGAGCAACAGGTATCATGTAAAATTACTCGAGAGATGCATGAAAGTTAGCCCGGACACAACAGTCGTTAAAAAAAAATTGTTCAGGCAACTAATCGAACACTTAGAGTGCATAGTTTTTCTTTGCAAGTTTTAGCACTCTACAGCTATGAATTAGCTTCCCAAAATCCGTGAAGATGCGGGAATTATAGTTTGCTACTCACAATACACACCACAACTCCTATTTGATCCGAACTTCAATTATCACATTCACAACTCAAGCACACGATGAACACCAAAACAAAAAGAAGGGAAGGGGAAAAATAATCGTCACTGTTTTGGGGTGTGGGAAAAAAGAGGAGATAAGAGAAGAAAAATGTTTACCTGGGTGAAGCCTTCCAATGGAGCAGTGATGGATTGAGAGGGAGAAAGTGATGTTCCAGTGTTTAAATATAACGAAAAAGAGAGAAATACAAATAATTTGATCTAAATATATTCATATTCCTAATAATTTGATCCAAAAACATTTTTTTGTTAATTAATGAGTCAAATATATCAATTATCAACTCCCTCCGTTTCACAAAGAATGACCTAGTTTGACTTGATACGAAGTTTAAGAAAATAAAGAAGACTTTAGAATCTTGTGGTCCTAAATTAAAGTTATGTCAAATGTACAAAATTGTCTTTTAATCTTCTGGCCTTAAACATGACACGTGAAAAATTGAAATTAAAATGTTACCAAAAAAAGAAAGATGTTATTCTTTTTGAAACAACTATAAAAAGGAAAGGAGATAATTCTTTTTTAAATAGAGGGAGTAATTACTATTTTTTTTTCTTTTTTAACTATATATTTTTCCCGATAAAAACATTACTTTTAAAAAACTATATTTTTTTCTTTTCTTTTAAAATCACTTTAACTACTAATAAATAAGTAGGAAATAATACTTATTTTCTTCTTAATTTTATTCAATAACAATAAAAAAAAAACAATAGTATTTATTTACCATCGTCAGATTTCATCACCATGTCTATATTTATGTACCACAAACATGAAAAAAAGGAAGATAAAATTTTATGTAAATATTTATAATCCAACTCAATCGTAGTAATATGAAGATATTAAATCTCTTCAAATATAAGTCACTAGTAAAATCACCCGCGCTTCGCGCGGAAATTTAATATCAATTTATAAAATAATACTTAAAATCTATCAGCCACTAAAACTAAAACACTATATTATCTTACATACAAGATTATGTAGTAACAAACATTAATAATGTAAAGAAAGATGATAATTATAACATCTTAATATTTTATCCTTCAATCAATCATCTTTAATTTGATTTTATAATTTATCCTTTTGCTTCCAAGAAGTGTTTCTATTTGATATTTTTGGGGAATCAAATGAACATCAACCAGATATATTAAATTTTCTAATAAATAAATAATCGTTTGTGAAGGGATAAATAAATTTTAAAAGACTGAAAAAAGTGAATAAATATTCTAATTCTAATGTGTAGAAAGTTCAGCCCTACCGTTTGCTTTACATATATCATTTTAAAGTTCTTCATTTAAATGTATCATAAGTAATTATTAAAATGAAAAATTAAAGGGGGAATGTATCATATTGGACAACAATTCAACTTATTATATACACTTGAAAAGGGGAAATATTATATAAAACTATTCAGTTTATTTGAGTGTTTTTTAAAAATCAACATACCAGAGTGATGAAGTTCAATTTAAAACTACCCTTCTATTCCAATCACAGTGTCGAGAAACACATTTGTTACTTCAAGAAAAGTAAATACAACTTGCAGTAAACTTGAGAATCTGTCCATGCTTCATATTGAATATGAACAATTAATTTAATGTGTAGTTATCTAGGTCTTTGGGATTAAAAGAGGCTCCAGTCTAATCATATTCCTCTATAGGTCATCTAGCACATCCTTGAACCCATGTCAAAAATTTATTAATTCTTGTCTTTTTTTCGTGGTTCACTTCGCACATTAAGGTGTGATAAAGTTTTTAAAGTCTTTATGTCCTTACAATAACATACCAAATTTGAATTTTGTCTTCAAGAGATGGTAGTATAGATCTTTAAGAAATTTTTTTGTTGTACCTTTAACAATTTCAATAGAGAAAACTTGTGTGAATACTCAATTAACATGTGTTAATTAATCTGTACTAACAAATACTTATAACAATAACTTTGTAGAAACATAAACAGCAAAGTTTAAAACATGTACTCAAAAACAATAATTAATACATAAACATAAATTAATGACTGTAAGAAAACATATCAGGATAGAAAGGAAAAAAATGAGCCCATTGAATGCACAATGTCACCTTAAGGAAATTATTTCCCTCTAGTACCCGAGGTTTAAATGAATAGATCCTCTCAGGATAGAACGATTCTATTCATCAGTGTATTGAAACACAATGGTATTGTGATTTGTGAGCCACTCAATAGGACCAAGTACATGAATATTTAATTGTGCAGAAGAAGAAGTAGTTCAGAATTTTTGTTTTAAAATGAGAGGAAATCTCTCTATTTATAGAGAACAAAGGGTAGTGTGAATACATTTTTATTGTGACGGAAAAATCCTTTTGGCCAGAATAATTTTTACCTATGTTATTTTACCTTTTAAAAATATTTTTACCCTTTTAACTAAAAAATGTAAAAAAGATCAGTTTATTTTAAAATAAAAAAGATATTATACAATTTTTAAATTTTCTGGCCAAATTCTAGCCAAATTCTCTAGCCATTTAGCATTACCCTTATTGTGACTTATCGGAAATGTCACAATTCTTTGGAAAAGCTACAACCCTTCGGAAAGGGCACAACCTTTCATAAAAGTTACAATTTTTCATAAAAGTCGCAACTCTTCATAAAAGTCGCAACTTTTCATAAGAGTAACAACTATTCATAAAAGTCACAACTTTTCATGAAAAGGGAAGGCTAGTTTTGGAAATAAATAAATTAAAAGGAAATTCTGATTTGTGGTGGCGCCACGTAGGCGGGCATACGGTTCTCTTTTAATATATATTATATATATATATATAATTTGACAATTATTGTGGAAACTTAACAATTTCTTTTAGAGACTTATTATAATCTCAATATGATGAACACTTTCATTCATCGGCGTAGTAACACATTAGCTCTTCAGGAGCTTTCGATTTTGTGTACTATCACATATTTTATAACACTATTTGTATGGTGACATTTCTTTCAAGGAGAAAATTATTACGATTTTCATGGTCAAAATCATTACATGCAACAATTGTTTCTTGCTTTACTCTTGTTGTATCATAGGTACACAACCAATGACAAGTTTATGCGATGACACAATAATATTCAATTTAGTCATGACTACAATTTTTATAGGTGAGAATTATTTCTTTCTTTTTTCCTTTCGATAGTTAATAATAAAATATACCACAATATTTGTGACATACTAAAAATTACACAATCAATGATCACTTATGTCAAAATGTTTTTTTAATCTCAAATCACCCATAGAGGTAAGTTGTAACATTTATCTAAAAATACATAAATATATTTTTTATTCATAACTTTTATGCAAATTAACATATTCATTTTCAAGAATGAAAGAGCATTTACGATGCTTCACAAGTCTCATTCTATCTAAGTAATAGACTCATGTGATCACATGTATGTGCTTCGTAAATTTTTAATAGAATCATATTGTCTTTCTTCGACATTTATTATATTTGTATAACACACCTCAACATCACTTTGAGAGGTCAAGTGCATCATCACTTTTTATTTCTTTATTTTGATGGAGAATTTATAAAACTTATTAAATTAATTAGATTACACCATAACCACATGTCGGATACCTTTCATGCCAAATTGATGGTAAAATTTGTCTTCACTTTTGAAGGATAATTTTGAGAATTCATACTTTTCTTCCGTTTATAATTATCACAATGATGCCTACAATTATTTTGTCCTTCCACACACATATTTATACATTTAGCCACTTTAGTTTCTTTCAAACCTATTATGCACTACTGTCATATTCACACTATGAAATAAAGAAAATCAATGGGGCAGCATGATTTCGTCACAAGTATATTATTATTATAGTGATGTATTAAGACTTAAATTAACGGTTATAGGCACAAAAAGAGTCAATAATGTAATTAAATACCTCATCAATATGAAATTTCCTTAAGAATAAGTTAGGGTCATGAAGTGGCAATATTAAAATAGGACAAAATGCATTAGTACCTCACCTTTTCACGGATGAATGCACAACAAATGGACTAATTTTTGTTACACCACTTTAACAAATAATATGTGGAATTCAACTTCGAAAAATACTTACAAAAATAAAAATTTAGTATTGATAATGTACTGTAAAATTAAAACAAAAATATGACACAAGCAATAGAAGTAGTGAGACGAGAGAAATTTTTTCTTATTCTTCCAATATGTATGTTCAAATATTTTTAAGTGTATCAATGAGAACCTTCATGCCTCTATTTATCGTGTTACATAGAAATATTCCAAATGTTGTCATAAACATGATCTTTATAGTGTTGATTTTGTAAAATCATTCACATCATGAAATTCTTAGAAACACCAAAGTAGAATGGGTCATAAATAAATAAATTAAACATTTTAGATTTTTTCACATAAATTAATGTTTGATTATTTCATTAAAGATCACTAATTGAGAAGCCAATATATCAAAGAACAAAGATTACTATTTAAAAATGTAGTAAATAAAATTAATCAAAATGAAAGAACATTTGTTATCACACCAAAGAGGTTCCTAATATATGTGATAGTGCTAAATCTTTTAATTTTTGTTGGAATGTTCTTAATATTTGTAATTTCTACAAGAATTTATCTTTTTATTATTTGAATCTTAGGCAAAATAAATATTTGTTAGTTTAATGTTGTCATTCATCAACTTATTTTCTCACTCCTGTGATCGAAGCGTGCACTTATGTTTTTTCCATACCTAATTTCAGGAAGAAAAAGTGATAGAAAAGCATCCTTAAATATTTTTCTTAAGAAATGTATTATTTCTCACTTAATATGGATCAGAAAATCCAAAATAATTACAAGTTCATACCCAAACTCAAAGTAATTCCTGAAATACTCATTCTCTCATAAATAATTAAACCTATACCCCATTCATTAAGACTGATAATTTTCGCTTAGCTGATACTAAATCAATATCATATACTGTATTGGTATCATTAACGCTGATAATTTTAGCTTAACTGATACTAAATCAATATGTATTGATATCATTAAAGCTGATAATTTCGCTTAACTTGATACCAAATCAGTATATATATACTATAAGAGTATGTGTATATTGGTGTAAATATTTCAGACCAAATATCCTGAACTCACCTCTGCTATTGACAAACTTGACAACATCTTTACTTATAAGTCTATTCAAA